AGAGTCTAGGGGGCCGTAGGAGTCTTCGGGACTGCGGCTTTGGGCGTCTGGTGCTCTAGGCCTCTTCTGGGGCGTCTGAAGCCTTGAGTCTGGAAGCTATAGGAATTCTGCGCGTCTGTCTCGTTGCCCGCGCTGCATGTGTTAGAACGCCCCGCGGGCTTAGTCCGTGATATTGCTATTTTTTGCTCGAGAGCCGAGAGCGAAGAACCTATTTCCATATCGCATGTTTTCCCATCCCGAAGCAAGTTTCATGTCGCTGGCGGCAGAAGTCCTTGGACAGATCGACATAGTCCTTCGTGATCCCGACTTGCCAAAAACTGTGAGCAAAGTGGTGCGGACGCGCATCCCTGTCGCCTTGCACTTGTTCGGCGCGAAGGTTGATGATGCAAAGGACGGCGACGCCCGTGAGGAAAACGGCGCCGCTGAGCTTGCCGCAGCCCCCATGGGCCCCATCGGTGACACTTCTGAGCCGTCTTCTACGCCACCTGAATTTGTCATCGAGGGCCAATGGAAGCAAGAAATCATCGAGAGGGACGCGGTTTTGGCGGCAGAGGCTGCCTCTAGGCCGGAGGACGGGCCCGAACCCAATGACGCGGTGCCTCCGACCAGTGGCGCCGCGTCGTCTGGCGCGGTGCCGCCGACGCAGTGGCTGCCCAAGTTGTCGAAACCTGGTCTGTCTCAGTGTGAGTGGACCAAGACGATCGACATTAGCGACAGTCCTCCTCCACCGAGCCCTGGCAGTGAGGCCCAGGATGCAACGGCGTGTCCTGCAGGCGAACCTGCAGCGCCTGCAGGCAACGTTCCCGCAGCGCCAGCGAATGCGAGGATCCCGAAGCGGGCCTCCGAGCCAGTGCCCAAGGCGCCTCCGAAGAAGCTATCTTCCAGGGATCGCGCTCGGCTTGCTGCGATGCCACCAGACGCGCCTTCAGGTCCGCCACAGATGGATGACGCCCAATTGTTTGATCAAACGCTGTTTGATGGCTTGGCCGATTCCTTTAGGCCAGCAGCTAACGACGCCGACCAGTCTGCTGAATGATTTTTCAACCTCATCAGCGCCGTCCGAGACGGCTAATATTCGCTAAACAGAGCGGGGGAAGGTTTAGCAGCTTAGCATGAGGTCTCATGTATCGGAATGTATCGCCATTTCTTTTCCGATGCCGATCTTGAGAGAGACTGAAAGGATGGGGAGGGTAAAGGTTTACGATTCGTCTTTGAAGACCTGTTGGCTCCTGGCTGAGGCCAGGTCTTCCGGAGCTGCTGGCTTCTGGCTTTAGGCCGAGGCGGAGCAGCAGCACTTCACTTCTTCGCCGAGGCCCGAGGGGTTGTTTCAGGGAGCCCCAGGCGCCGAGGCGCTTTTATGCTCAGTGGTGCCGTTGCACCGCTACGCATCGGCAGTGGTGCACTGGGAATGTGTCCACCTCTCTGAGCGGTTCCTCTGTCCCTTCGCATGCTCTCGGGGCCTCGCTGGACCTGGTCGAGGCCTTCATTCTAAGTCGGTGGGGCCTTAGGTTTCCAGCCGCCTTAGGCGTCTGTGGGCGCTCTGGGGCCTTAGGCTTCCTGCGGCGTCTGGGGATTTGGGGCGTCTTCGAGTGTCGGCGCATTGTCTGGAGGCACTTGGCGGACTTAGGCTTCTGTGGGTGTAGTTCGGACCTGATGGCCTTATGGCTTATGGCATGTATCTGTCGGGGTGTATGGTTGCTACCAGCATCAGCCACCGTGAACATCACCCCGGTGGGGATCAACGATGGCAAGGAAAATGGTGTATGCATGAGTTCGTGCATCGCGAAATGAACGCTAAACTTTAAGCGCTATGGTAAACTTATGCCAAGCCTCACGTCAGACACGATGATTGTGAGGGTAAACTTGTCTTGGGGCCTTAGGCGTCTGCGGGTGTCTATGAGCCTGAGGCGTCATTGGGTGTCTAGGGGCCTTAGGCGTCTGTGGGTGGTTTGGGGCCTAAGCCTCAGGAGACCTACGGCGTCTTGGGACATGTGTGTCGGGCCTGTAAGCTCACGCGCGCGCGCTCACAAGTCTATGCCGCAACGCACGCGCACACCTTCGTGATTACGAGAGGCATGCGTCCAGCTTGACAGTGAATTCAATTGGTCCATCTCGATTCCAATGTTGCGACGTCTTTCTGTCAACCGTATCTTTGATGGCTCGGCATTGGCATTCGCATGCGGCGGCACTTCCTGTCACAATTCTCGAGGATATGATTGGGTTACATTGCCGTCCTGCTTGGAAGCATCTTCCCTCCATGAGACGTGTGCCTACCATTATTGAGCCACTCCTCCGTCTCCTCCGACCTCCAGGGGCTGCGAGCGGATATGCCAAAGGCTTCATAAGATTGAGCGGGGGTCTCAGTGCTGATCATTTCTTAGGGGCCTGCGGGGGGCGGCGCATGAGCGCTCGAGGGCAGGCGCTTTTTTACGTGCGTAAGCAAGCCCCTTGGCGAACGCGCAAGGGCAGACACATACAGACACTTCGGCACTTAACACTTAACGACCTGACGCGCGCATCACTGCACGAAAGCATGACAACATTACAACATTACATTGCAACGACAAGCGTGCGGTTGCAGCCGTGCGCGCGCGACACGTGACCTCTCCAATGCTTACGTCCGCCCCCTGATCGTTGGTCTAGTTTTCGGGCGAGCCCGACTTCGAGAATGATCGTGCTAGGCCGGGCCTAATGATTAGGGCCTGATGTAGGTGTGTTTCTACCGGAGAGATCGCCGCCTCCATCTCCCCCGTTCCATGCGCCTTCCCCGACGAGAGAGAGATAGAGATATATCGTTAGATCGAGAAGTCTGTGTGTAACTATAATGTATAATGATATATATATACATATATATACATATATATATATGTACATATATATATATATGTACATATATATGTATATGGATAGAGAGTATATGTCCAGATGAAGAAATGAAATGACATATAAATATAAAGAGAGAGAGAGAGAGAGAGAGAGAGAGAGAGAGAGAGAGAGAGAGAGAGAGAAAAAAAAAAAAAAAACAGAACGCCTTGGGACTCTGGCGTTGGGCCCTCTTGGGCCCCGCTGACCCCCTGGGACTCCTGCCAAGCGGGCTCTCCTGGGGCCCGCGCGGGGCCCGCTCGGGCCCCTCTAGTGACTTAGCGCGGCCTGAGGGGGCCCATAGGGGGGGGGGGGGGGGGCGCGATGTATCAGTGCATCAGCGCTGTGCAGATAAGCCAGATAAGCGCCCAGAGGAGATCACGCAGAAACGCAAGCTCACGGCGGCGACCAAGCTCGATGACCTGTTCGACCAAGAGGGCGAGCCCATGCTCGTATAGCGCTTGCTTGACAATGACAATGCCCACTGTGCAAATAACTAAGTTGGGGCTCGGTTGTTTTTCTTAGCCTCTAACAACTTCCAACGCGGATCAGGCCCAATCGGGCTGCCCCCCTCAAATCAAAATGACATCGAGGAATGTGTTCGGTGCTCTTTCATTGCCATTGCATTGCACGTCACCATTGCACAAGGCAGCCCGCCCAGCCAGGGAGGACAGAACCAAGTGGAATACGCATTCGCAGAACATGCGGGCCAAATTGTCCATGACAGAGGACGCCGCACCGTGGACTGGGCGAGCTGAGATTTGTTTGCGAGGCGTTGGAGTTCAGCCGCGAATCTTGGACCTCTTGGACTTGGGCTGGCAAAGTCGCGTGGAAAATCCGCCGGGAGGTTTCAAGGATCTTCCAAAGTCAGAGAAATTAGACGCACTGGTCGATAATTTCTACGCGGACATTTCTCAACATAACGTCAGAGAGCCGTGGGAGAAACTGTAAGTTGCCACCGCTAGCAGCGTGATATAGTCTTATAAGCATGACAGGATCCTTTTCGAGGAGGAGTTGCTTCGCTTGCAAGGTCACCCCGTCCCAGCGGAGATCGCCTGCGGCAAAAAGGGCAATGTGAAATCGTTCCAGGAACTCGCTGGTGAGGCTATGACGCTGCCTGTGCTTGCATCGGCGATGATGTCAATGATTTTGAGTGCGCCGTTGCCAGGATTGTGGCAGCACGCGCCATCAGTGCAGCCGCCGCAAGACCCCCACAGCCCGGCACAGGGCGCCCAGGACCCATGTGACCATGACGGCCGCGGGCTCGCAGTCCGACCAGGATCTTCTTCAGAGCGAATTGGATGCTTTGCTGGGTTCTGGAGACGCGGGCGCTGCTGCTGCTGCGCGCGCAGAGCCACCTTCCAAGAAGACGAAGTTCTGCGCGGCAGTCAGCATCAAGTGCGATGTCTGCAAAACGCCACCGACGGACCACCGAACACCAAACGGGGAGGATAGGAGGAAAGAGGGCAGGGCCAGGGGGCGCATGATTTGAGAGAAGCAGAACAACAAAACACAACGTTTCAGGGTTGAGAGGGAGGGGGCGCGGAGGAGGGCTGGGGGTGTATAGTATGAGGTATAGGGCGATGGAGGGAGGAGGCGGATCTGTTAAAAAGTAGCAACCACTCCCACACTCCCATCTACGCCCCATGTCTCGTCTGCGGTCGAGGGGATCCGGCGCTGACTGACTGACTGCCCGTTGCCCCCCCGGTTGGGCCGTCGAGGATTGGGGATGCGGCACATGCCCGCATTCAGAGAGAATCAGAGAGAATAGGATCATGCAAATATGCAAAGCTTGTTTAGGAAGTGTGACACATAGGAAGCGGAAACCAAATCAGGAAGAGAGAGGAGGAGAGGAGGATGAACCATGATGATGGCGATGAGTGTGTGAGGGAGGGAGCGGGCGAATATTTGTTTGTACCCGGCCGAGGCTGAGAGATGCAACAAAGACCTGGGATCCGCTCATCGCTCATCAGCGGCCGAACTTTGCCCGTTGCTACCCGGCTAGCGGCGACCCCCAGGGGTGATGTTTGTAAGTCCCCCGCAGGGCCCCAGGGGCTCTGATCATGGGCAAGACTCAAGTTTCGATTTCAGAGGCTCGAGATGTTGAGGCTAAACTTGTTTCTTGGCTCTCCACCCAGGAGAAAACGTGGGCGGCGCACGTGGGGAAGAAGAAGGAGATGATACCTCAGGGCAGGGCCTGCAGAGACTGCATGCAATTGTTGCTTGATGTCTGGCCAGGCGTTGCATGGGGGGATCACGCCACGAAGTACACTGCGAACATCGATGACCACGAAACGAAGGTCGACATGGCGAAGGAGATCAAGCTGAAGAAGATTGAGGCTCCGTTGGTCAGATCGACCGAAACTGCGGGTTCCTACTTGCACTGGGATGGCATTGTCCTGGACTCGGATCAATTCACAAAAAAGTTCTTGCATACCCACGAAGGCATCCCGGATGTAATGGAGATCTCGCTCAACAGAAATTTGGACGGCGCAGAAGAAAAAACATTCGCATTCCAAGGCCCCGACCAACCCTACCGCAAGATTCGCTTCTTCAGTCAGTGCGACTTGTCGAAGAGCATTGGTTTGTTGCCAGCAGAGAAGCACTTGGTGGATGGCCAAGCACGGGCCAAGTTCGATTCGCAGATGAAGCTAGATGTTGGAGCTCGGCTCCAGCAGCTCCGAGGAAATCAATTCGCCAACCTCCCGGCGCTGCAGGCGATCGAGGAGAACGTCCGCAAGGTCAAGGCAGATGAGTATTCGAAGAAGAACAAAGACCTCGAGCAGATGAAACAATGGGAAGAGAGGAGGCGAGAGAAGAAAGCTGCCGGAGAAGAGCTTGATGACCTCGGCAAAGAACTATTTGAATCGTCCTCGGAGGCCAGCAACGAAGGGCAAGTCGTCACCGCGACGCATGTTCCAAAGGAGCAGGGCAATGCCAAGCTCGCAGGCAAGTCTAAGAAAGGCGGTCGAGGTGCTGCTGCTGCTAGTCGCGGCGGCGGGGGCTGTGGCGGACGAAGGGGGGCTGGCCGAAGTCGCGGCAGAGGTGCATCGTCGGGGGCGGCCGCAGCGAGGGCTTCAGCTGCTGGCTCCGCGGCTGGCGACCTCGGCGGCATCGAGGAGTTGGAGATCAAAAGCGTGGGCCTGAGTGGAAGCAAGACGGTCGCGTCGATGAACACCGCCAGATCGCCTGCCAATGGAGACGCCCCATCGGATCCGAAGGGCGCAGTCGAGTATTGGATGAATCGCGCGGGCAATGATGACATTCTCAGGACTGGCGCGAAGCTTGGGAAGGACATCTCCCAGGTCAAGTGTCAAACATAACCAACCCCGTTCCTGTGCTTACGAATGGTCTTCGGCCAAAAAGCCCACAGCCCCACCACCGTGCCAGGGTTGTAGGTGTGAGGCGTCGTGGATGTTCGATGGTAGCTGGCATGGGGCACTCGAGGGGCTCTTCACTCTTGGAGGCAAGTTTGTAGTTTTTCGAGGCCGCATGGGGCCTCTTGGAGTCTCTTCTCGGCCTCTTGGGGGCTTCTTAGGTGCATCCGTTCGCCTCTTGGGGGCATCTTGGGATCTTGGGGCCACTTGGGAGTATAGCGAGTAGCTCGGGGCCCTCTCGGGGCGGAAGGCTTCGTTAATCGCCCCCCCGCTGCCGGTTTCCCTTTTGGGCCCCACGCCGGCGCTGTTTCGCTTAAGTCTTTCGAGAGGCGTTGGTTGGTTCTGCATGGGGAGATACGGGGCGCCCAGGAATTGACCGGGAGGGCTCCGAACCCTGAGATAGGTTGAACGCTTAAACTGCAAGGCTTAAAGCTTAACGTTCCAAGGTCCAAGAATGAGGATAGAGGGGCAGGGACAGTCTGGCACGCCCACTCCATGCCGATGCCCAAGGGCACGGTGGCGGATCCGAATAATGATATATATACACGTAAAGAAATAAGCATGTCTTTACACTTATTCGAGCTTTGAGCCTGTCAATACCGTGAGCCGACCTAGAGAGCTCAGAGCGAGCACTGTGTTTTGTTTGAGGCTTGAACCTTGACCCAACATGCTACATTTATACGAAATGCATGTTAGATACTAAGTCAATCGGCTGTTGCCGTTGCACTTGCTTATCGACACCCTAGTTGGGCGAAGCTGGCAAGAAGGCAATGCAGGAGCACCAAAGGCTGGTCGCAGCGCAGAGAGGCATTGCAGAGTCGCAAGGCTGGTCGTCAATTTAACCTAAGAGCACTTGCCCAACATGAAAGTGGCTGAGCTGAAGCAGCACCTGAAGGAGTTTATATCCTACAAGATCGTGCTCCCGCAGTCGCACCAGCTGCTAGTTTGCGCGACGAAGGAAAACGAGTTGCGCCAGTCACCATCCTTCGCTGGATTTGCTGAGGACAACGGTTTCTTTGAACTCTTACGCCTAGACGGTATTTCCAGCGCGGGCGGCAGTTCAGGCGAGGGGAACGAGCAGCCTCCTCCGCAGCATTCACAGCAGCAAGTCATGCCCAAGGCCTCTGAATTAAAATTCGACCCCATGGAACCTAAGTTGGGCGAAGTCGACGGTATTGATTTGAGGTCGGCGGTTTCCTTCATTGACGAGAAGTACATCAGCGGCAAAATGCCGTCTGCACTCATGGCGAAGAATCACAAAGCCGCTTTGGATATTGCCGAGGCGTGCGCTAAGGTCTTGGCCACAGCCTCAGACGGCGAAGTGATCTCTTCTGCGTCAATTGCGTGCCGTCGCGCGATCGCCATCTTCCACAGCTCGCCCGGCGTTCAGAGGAGCACCAAGGACGACGCCAACATAGTTCTGGAAAGCGCAGCCAGCGGTGCGATCTCTGACGGCGCGGGCGCGAAGCGCGACGAGGACTACTTCAATGTGTTCAAGGAAGTCTGGGGGGAGAAGTACAGCAAGAAGATCGGCGAGTTATTCAAGTTCACCATCGCGGAGCAGACTCACCTGCCAGAACTGGCGGCCATCTGCGACATAGTCGAGCCCGAGAACCTCGATGCCATCAACCAGGCCCTCAAAAAGCTACCAGTCTCGACGCAGACATGCACGGCGGGTGCAACGAGCGAGCTTGAGATGAAGACGCTCGCGGCCATCCAGGGCCGCAAGTTGTTGTGCGTCAATGCTCCCGACTCCACCACTCTGGATGACTTTGAGGGCTTCATGAACACAGTTAAGCTTGCCATCGAGAACATGCCCCAAAAGGTAGACGAGCTGGTGGCTATTCGCACTGAGATTGCGACGCTCCTGCAGAACACGTCGAAGAGCCACAGGCTGAAGCATTTGGCCGAGAATTTGAAGGCGGGAGCCTTTCTGACATATGGTTGTTATTGTTCCTCTTCCTTGCCTTTGTACCTTGTCACAGTCACGCACCTTGTCCTTTGCCCTCCTGTCCAAGGAAAGGGCACCAGGTTTCATCATGTTCTCATGGGTGGAAAGTGTCTGTCGGCTGTTCGGCTTTCCCTGAAACTCGAACTGAACGTGTCAATCGTGAGTAATGCTGAGCAGCCCGTAGGGTAGTAGGGTAGAGGGCAGATGGGTGGAGTTGTTGGCAATAGGTTAGTTAGTAGTAACTTCCGACCTTTCAGGCGGTTCTGCATGCTGTGTCTTCCACCAACATGACGGAGGTGGCCACAGCAGCTCGGAACCTGACCGGAGCCTGGGAGAGCTGCAAAGGTATTGAGCTGCCGCAGTCCGGGGACTACCCTATCGATGAGGCCATTCCCAAGATTATCGCTGGAGCCCGAGCGAATGTAGTTTCATCAAGCATCGAAGCATTCGAAGATGTTGACGAGTGTATCAAGAAGCTCGAGGGCAGGACCAGCATCAGCAAGAAGATAAAGGATGAGTTCGAATTTTACAGGTTGGCAAGTCTGATGAAGAAGCATCGCGGTATGACTGAGGCTCTCACCGCAAATTCACCACAGCTCCTTGCGGTTGCAAAGATTATTGTTGCATCCCTGAAGTCCTGGAACGACATGCGGCCGCAGTTTGAGATCGCCGAGTCGAAGGGCGCCGACGACGCGAGCATGGTGATCGAGAGTTTCAAAACGTTCGATGCAGAGGTGACGGAACACACGAAAGTTGTGAAGGCATGCGGCATGCAGTTCGCAGACGACGCGCTGAGGAAACTCGAATCTTTCTCTGAACAGGTGCAGCCTGCAGTGGATCACGCCGAATGGAAGGAGGGCCTCGACAATGCTGCAAACCTGGAGGTCTTGATAGCTGCCGCAACCGAGAAAGGCATGTGGAGCATGAGTGCCGAGACGATCTACAAACACATGCAGAAGATGCTGACAGGGTTCGTAGAGTACAAAGCGATCGTGGATCAGCACGACATAGATCAGGAACAGCATGAAGATGCAGCAGCACAGAAACACCTCAATGACCTGAAAGAGACCATGACCACGGCTACTATCTGCCGCATGGAGGGGCGGCTCATTAAGATATTGGAGAAGAGATCTGCGGTCGACGGAGCTGAAAAGAGCAAGAGGCCCCAGCAGCTCATCAACAAGGAGCTCAAGACGCTCGCCGGCGCAAGCGTCGACGCCCAACTGATGCACCCGACGATCAACGAGATGGCGAGCTCCTCCCTGAGCAGCTGAGCAGCTCAGCCAGACGGCAGCCAGGGCGGCTGCCAAGACTCAAGACGCAAGACAGTCTGGCGTCTGGCTGCGGGACAGGGGGAGCAGCGGCCAGGGAGGGGCTGGGAAGGGCAGAGGAGGGGGGGGAGTAGGAGGAGGAGGAGGAGAAGAGCGGCGAGCGGCGACGAGGAGGAGGAAGAGAAGGAGGAGGGAGGAGCGGGGGGAGGGGGAGGAGGAGGGGGGGGAGGAGGAGGAGGAGGAAGAAGAGGAGGAGGAGGAGGCGGATAATTATTGTTCCTGACCTGGTGACCTGAGCCTCAGAGGCTACGAAAGGAGGAGCTCAAAAAGGTGAGTCGAGTCGCGAGTCAGCAGGCTGAGTGGGTGGGAGGTGCAGCAGCAGCAGCAGCAGCAGCAGCAGAGAGGACAATGAGCACTGAGTAGGGCCCGGGACCTATGTTGAAGGATGAGGAACCAGGGAACGAGGGCGACCACTGTGAAGAATAAAGAGCGAGGAAGGAGGAGAGGGGGGGGGCACGGCCGGGGCTTTGACTACGGACTGCAGCAGGCACTGCCCGCCACTCACTTCCTCATCCCTGGGTCCATGCCGTGCACCTCCTCTTCGCTCCTCGCTCCTCCTCTCACGGCCCCCTCCCAACCTCCGCCTTCGTTCCCTCGCCCCCCGCCCTTGCGCGTTTTCTTTCTCGCCCCTCTTCTTTCGAGCTCCCCGCGTCGATTGGTTCTTCACGTGCTCCTTTATCTTCTCCCCGCGGCCGTCGCCTGTCCCCTCCTCCTCCCCCCCCGCGTTCTACTTCCTGACTTCCTTACTCCAATGTCGTTTAGCCTCATCGTGCGTCCACCTATCTCACTATCCTTATCATCGCCTCGCTCCGTCTCAATACGTATCCTCCTATGTTTTTTTCTTTTCAAATCGTGTGTTTACCCTGGCTCAGCTCGCTGATCGCTCAGATAGCTGGTGGTAGCTGCAGTAGCCGATAGCCAGCAGTACTTAGTAGCAAAGCCCAAGGTCACTTGAGCATGGTAGCGGGGCGCAAGTATGAGTGGTTATTCGGTTACTGGTAACGGTTACTGCCGCTTGTGCGACCTACCTGTTTGATTGCGCCAGCTCGTATTCTAACGACGAAATCTTTGTTTTGCTCCCAAAATGCTTGCTTCACGAATAGGGTGCTCCAAACGTGCCCCAAGTATGCGGTGTTAGTTAAAACGTTCCTCCAAACATGCTCGCCTGATGTTTATGCGTGTTCGCGATGCTTTCAAACTGCTGCCATCCTGTTTCGTCCGGAGATGGTCGAAACATGTTCTTTGCATGTTGTGCGTTTGTCGCACGTGCCCCAACAGTGCTGTATTACGTTGCTGCTGGTGCTGAAGATGTTCCAATTTTGCCAAGATTCCATCATCTGCTTTCGTGGCGGTGCCCCAGACATGCTGCTCTCATCATGAGGCGGCATTTCTGGGGCACCGCTGCGAAAGCAGATGGCGAAATGGGCAACATTCGAACATCTTCAAAAAGAGCAGCAGCGTAATACCGCATTTTTGAGGCACGCGTGAACGCACAAAATGCGAGGAGCATTGTTCGATCGCCCCCCCCCCCAAAAAAAAAAAAAACACGCGCGCGAAAATTCAGGTAGCAGTTTGAGAGCATCGTGAAAACTACATAGCAATCGAGCGAGCATGTTTGGAGCATCGCTGTAAATACCAGAAAATGTTAGGAGCATTTTTGGGGCATCCGATTCGGAAATAATGTATATATATATATATATATATATATAAACATTTTGGTGGCAAATAATGAGAAAAGATTTCGTAGTTTCCCACAAACTGGCCAAACGCGGAGCTCGCAAATTTTGCACTGGAGGCAATGCCTCCTGCGCTGGAGGCCCAGCCTCCAGAAGAAGAGAAGATGAGAGAAGGTTGAGCGCCTAGGGGGCCACAAGAGGAGCTTCGCGCTGGAAGTACCAGCGAAGATATGGGCTTGTCCGACGCTTGCCGCGGCCCTCAGAAGTTCGGCGCCATGACCACCTGGCCCGGGCAGGGGCGAAAAGAAGAGGGGCGGAGGAGCACGGATGAGGGAGGAGGAGGTGAGAGGGGGGGGAGGAGGAGGGGGGAGCGAGCGCCTGATGGGATAGTACCACATCTGCAGGCTCGGGTTGGCGTTCCACTGCTGGGACGTCCACAAGTCCGCTTCGTGCGCGCGGCGGCCAACCTGGGAGGAAGGGGGGGAGTGGGGATTAGGGGGGAAGGAGAGATCGGGCCGTGTAGGGCGCCGGCCGCTCCCCCTTCTTCCACGCGAGCTCCAGCGCCTGCGCCGGGCCATCGGGCACGGTGATCCACCCCTCCTGCTCCGGTTCCTGCGAGGGCGAGCGCGATTCAAACGGTTTCCCTTCCCCTCCCATTTCCGCGTTCTCTTCTGCTTTCCGCGCTGCTGTCCTGGTGCGCCCAGTCGACTTGTGGTCGCGGGGCCCCCTGCTTCTTGTTGCGCTCCTGGAACGGCGCAGCCGCTGCGTTTTGCCCCGCCTGGCGGCGCGAGGACCCCGCCCAGCGCGCGCTCACCTGCGACCCCGCGGCTCGAAAAGGCGCCGAGAACTGCGACAGAGATCGCAAAATCAACTGATTGAGCCCTCGGCGTTCGGACGGGGAGGGATGGGGGAAGGGGGGGGGGGGGGAGAAGGGGGCGGCGCCTCCTGCGTCGCACGGCCGCGGAGGACAGGCGCTGGAGGCCGCGCCTCTTCTTGGCAGGGGGCCGCGCCCCCTCGCTTATGCAGGCGCCGCCGCAATGCCCGCGCCTGCCGCAGCCGCGTCCGAGGCTCGGATTTCCAGCATTTGCGTTCCCGTCGCTTCCACGGAAGATTCGCCAGATGCTGTCGTTGCTTTCGCTCGTGAATTCTCTTGCTTTGAGCGCCTACTTGGCGCGCGCGGCGCCAGAGGCAAAGGGGGGGGCAAAGGGCAAAGCAAAGGGAAAACCGAGAGCCCGCCCCAAGCGAAGAGCCCGCCTCCAGCGAAGGCACCTGCAGGGCGCGGCGCGGCTGGGGGGCCGAAGGG